TTTTTTTTTTTTTGGTCAAAATTTTTTCATTTTATTTTATTTTATTTTTTTATTTTTTATTTTCTTTTGGGGGGGGGGCACATGAGTTTCTGAATTTATAGTGTTTTTTCACTTTAACAGTTTTCCCCCAGATAAACAAATTAACACTTCAAACAAAGAAAAGTTTTTTTTTGAAATGCTATATTCTGATTTCTTATTTTTTGACACTGAAAAAAAAAAGAAACCTAAAATAAAAAGACTTTCTGGGTGAAATAACATGAGTTACTCTCTTGTAATTGTAATCACTACTATAACTTTTTAATTGTTTATACATTAGTACAGACATGTTCTTTCATTACTGCTGCAGTTTTCCTCCAACATGTAACTACAGGAGCTGTACTGCGCACACTGACACTTACTAACCCCCCCCACACTTAGTAAGTCCGACTGTCTTTGGGCAATTCATGGTTCATTGAAACAATTATGTGGGCTACATGACTTCAGTTGATATTGATGTCCTATTGCAGGGCTCTGTGCTATATTCACAGTGAAAACCAAACCACTTCCCCTTTAGTGTGACAGAAACTAGCAGTGACATACTTATGTACTGATCTTAGTCCAAAGTTAAAACCACTTCGCAACCTGGTTTTAACGCGAGAGTCTTAGCCTTAATTTGACAAGAAATTCCTATTATAGTCTCTTTTCTAACAGGGCACATCCAGTGAAAGGTCTACATATCTAAATGTCACTAAAAAACAAGACATTGTCTTCAAGAAATAACCAGCCATGGGCGAGTAGTCACACGATTGTGACATACTGCATCTTTCTTCCTAAGCGAAACTGTTATTGTTCCCGTGTCTCAAAGCTCTTTAGCAATAGCAGGTACGGCTTAATTCAAGTTTGCAAATTATGTTTGCAAATGAGTGTGACCAAAAAGGTGGGTACACATGACTGTACCAACATCACTTAACGAAAGTACAGCTTATACCTGAAAAAGCTTCCAGTAAGGCTTGATTTGTGGTCTTCCAACAATTTACGGTACAAACAAGAATCTCAAGTATTTGTTTTTCTTTGTAACATCTCTCTTACCGTCACCCAGATTCATTAAAATGCTGAATCATCAAAGATCAGTAACAGCTGAAGGTTTTCTCCCATTGGTGAGAGCAGGTTCTGTATGTTCTGTATGTCATATCCACTCTGTTTGTAAAGACTAACAGTCTTCACTCCGTTTTCTTTGCGCTTTGTAAAAAGCTCAGGTTAGCTGCTGTGTGCCAATAAAGTTTTGAGTTGGTAACAAAGTGACGCTCTAACCTGATGATGATGATTACAGTCATGATTTTATTCATTTTGCACATTAAATGACTTCAAATGTTTGATGGAATAAACACTGAAAACCTTTAACAAAAGCACATTAAGATAAAATGAATATACAACAAAGTAAGAAGCATTAATCTGCTGCCATAATCCCAGTTAAACCTGAAGCTTCATCTAAACTCAGCCCAGGTGTTTCTCTGCAGTCGGCTCTGTTATCCTGACAAAACTGTTTCCAGCCAGAAAGGCTGCAGGTGTGAAATAAAGACAGCGAGGGAAAAATTCACACCAAAGACATTTGAATAA